ACAACACATGAAAACTCTGACTTCGCTTTTTTGAAAAATGAAATGGTCTTTCCTATTACTCCCGATCACCAATCAAATATATTTTCTTGAATTATGAATAACACGAATGGATTGAAATATTTAATTAAATTATCTCAAAATAAACCTTAATTTCGGTGCAATATTGAAATTAGCTTGAATTCTTCATAACCTCTGAATAGTGGGTGACGGGTGGTGTAGTCTTCTTTATAAGTAGGATTGCTAAGGTAACAGTTTCTAATATATTATCTCTTTACATAACTCTGTGTTACATTTAATGTTTTACAAAGTAACATACGAGATATTTCTCAAAATTAAAAGTTATGCAGACAGTATGCAGTGAGAGTTCTTGTTATAAAAATGCCCTCTATATCAACGAGTGTTTTAGTAGACACGTATTTGTTCTTTCTTAATTCCACTGGTACATTATAGCTTAATTTTATAAATTTTTTAATTTCGTAGTCACAAAAAACATACGATTGTTTTCCAACAAACATTGGTGTATATTTATGATGTTTCTATTTATCTGAGGATATGTTAAATAATTATTGTGTGGTTATAGATGTGGGTGTGTGTATATTATGGCACAGAGGTTAATGTTTAGATAACGTGTTATGTACTTGTTGTCATAGGTGTCGAAATATTTTCGCCATTCAGCAGAACCTGACGACGATCACAATGAGTCGCGAAGTCGCCCTGGATCATGCTAGGCAGTACTTTGAGCTGTTTTATCATACACCGGAGGTGAGAATTCCTCCCCTAACTCTTAGCCCAATCAGAAAATAATATACATAAATTTAGTTATCACATCTTTTGTTTATTAGTTTCAACATCGTGTTGTCATTTTGTTTTACAACTAGAAACAGAACAGGTTTGCCCTTGTCCACGGTTACCGATGAGGGGGGGGGGGTTCTCTGAAACCAATATAGTTCATTGATAAGTGGTGAATTGAATGATAGATTGGGTTTTTAGTTTTATAACGGGATTAATTTTTTTTTTTTTACGGTTTAGTAACCAGTGAATATAACCTATTTTACTTGTAAATCATTTCTGTTTTGTTAAGAGTGATAAGTTTATGTTTAAAATAATTTTACATATACATATTGTTCTCTTTTTTTGCATCCCAGTGTTATTAAAACGTTTGGTTTAGAAAGTGGAAACCGACATCGAATAAGGTTTAATAGATATTTAATATTCTAACACATTTTATCAAACACGTTAAAATTGAATACGTTTTCAAGCAGAAAGATTTGAAGTTTGTTTGTACACAATTCTTAAGAGAAATTGATTTGTTTACTTTTAAACCTTCTTAAACAATTGTTTTTTCAGCTTGTAAACTTTATCGGGTAGACAGGAATCGTTTGTTTAGCTTGTAAACTCTGATTTTTTGTTCGGCATGTAAACTTTATTAGGAAGACAGAACCTAAACCTTATCAAATTGACAGAATTTTTGTTTTGCTGGTATCTCTTAATGAATAGACAATTTTTGTAAAAGGCTTGTAAAAAGTATTAGATAAGACTGAATTATAAGGCTTAAACATCATGATAAAAGCTGTTTTGTAGGTTGATGTTTTTTTATTACGTTTGTCCTAATTTGTCTGCAACAGTAATGAAAATTGTGATTTTAGAACTTGTGTTTGGTCCTTGCAAACTTGTGGTGATGAAACTTGTTATGTTCACTATGGTACCTGTAATTTTGTTTTTGTAGGAAGTATTGAACACAATAATGGAGAGAGGCCCTCAGTTTCAGGAGATTGAGTATGTGAACGTTCTTCAACTCATCCACCGTAGCCAACCAGGGAGCGATCCCACCATTTTGGACTCGCAACTCTCGAGATTACAGGAAATTCTCAATGAGGTTGCTGTAGCTGTATAGATTTGACCACTACATCCAGTGAGCTTTGAACACATTTATCATAGATATCGAAGGGGAACCCACAACTGGAACTCCTTCTCTGGAGTCGGTTTTGTGCAAGCTATGTCACATCGAGTAGAAATGTACTGGTTCACCCTCAGAAAAAAAAAAGTGTATTTAAGACTAATAAAAAAAGTTTACCTAAAATCTTAAGTTTTATATGTTTGTACCATATAAATCAGAAGAGTCCAGCTTGTTGCTTGCTTCTATCCAAAAAACTGTAAAAGAAACAAGAAATTAATCATTATTTAATTTCTGGAGTGTTATTGGTGTATAAAAGACATTTCAATACTAGTAATAAAACACCGTATAACACCAAAGTTGGTGTTGTAAGGTTGGTTATTTCTAGCGTGAAAATAAATTAATCACAAGTCTTTAAATACCTTTAGTGCAGAAGAGCTTCAGCTGTTGTATAAAAAGGTGTTTACAACCATTGTATGGAATATAGGATATAAAAGATGTTTACGACCACTGTATGGAATATAGGATATAAAAGATGTTTACGACCACTGTATGGAATATAGGATATAAAAGATGTTTACGACCATGTATGGAATATAGGATATAAAAGATGTTTACGACCACTTTATGGAATATAGGATATAAAAGATGTTTACAACCATTGTATGGAATATAGGATATAAAAGAAGTTTACAACCATTGTATGGAAGATAGGATATAAAAGGTGTTTACAACCATTGTATGGAATATAGGATATAAAAGATGTCTACAACCATTGTATGGAATACAGGATATAAAAGATGTCTACAACCATTGTATGGAATATAGGATATAAAAGATGTTTACTTACGCTTATAATAAATCCCCATCTGCACGATCTTTTGTACTTTACACAGCTATAACATTTGAACCTACTTTAGAAATAAACAGACACTTGTAAACCAACTGGTGGAAAAGTTTAGTAAACACCAGCACCTAGGTAAACTCATCAGATCACCTAACGTTATGGCAGCTGAACAGGAATTGTGACTTAAGCGGGGTTCTCCAAAAGTCGAGGAAAGGTGCACATCCAACTATCGTGCATAATGTATACGGTTATGGCACTTTTCATAGCCTGGTATTCGTTGGTGAAGAGGTGGCGGTGGGTGGTGTTGACTAGCTGCCTTTCCTCTAATTTAGGGACGGCTTGCGCAGTTAGCCCTCACGAAATTAAAAAAAACAACATTTTTCTTATTCGTTAATCCAAATGTGTTAAACTGAAGTTTTTAAGGATCCATTATCTGTTTGGTGGATGCTACTACTGGTTTTTATGGGGAGGTCAATCTTTGTTTTCGGATTATTTTGTTTTATGTAAAGGAAAACAGAATTACGTCATCACCGTTCTGTGTAATAATTTCTTTTATTTGACAAGAAAATTTCGGTGAGGGAATATCAAGTCCATCCATCTGTTGTAACCGTGTTTTAATGTTATGTAAAATGTTCAATTTAAACAATGTACACAAAATATTAAACAATATTGTAATATTAACTAAAGCATTAGTGTAAAGAGAATGAACAACATTATTAACACTAGTGGTAAACGAAATTTTCATTTTAAACTTATATTAACTAAAATATTGGTGTAAAGAAAAAATTTATTTTAAACAACGTTATATTATCTAAAATATTAGTGTAAACACAGTTTTCATTTTAAACAACGTTATATTAACTAAAATTTTAGTGTAAAAAAAAAGTTCATTTTAAACAACTTGCATTAACCAAAATATTAGTGTAAACAAAAATTCAATTTTGGCGTTATATTAACAAAAATATTAGTGTAAACAAAAATATATTAACAAAAATATTAGTGTAAACACAATTTTCATTTTAAACAACGTTATAATAACCAATATATTAGTGTAAACACAATTTTCATTTTAAACAATGTTATGTTATCTAAAATATTAGTGTAAACACAATTTTCATTTTAAACAACGTTATAATAACCAATATATTAGTGTAAACACAATTTTCATTTTAAACAATGTTATGTTATCTAAAATATTAGTGTAAACACAATTTTCATTTTAAACAACGTTATAATAACCAATATATTAGTGTAAACACAATTTTCATTTTAAACAACGTTATAATAACCAATATATTAGTGTCAACAAAAATTTCATTTTAAACAATGTTATGTTATCTAAAATATTAGTGTAAACACAATTTTCATTTTAAACAACGTTATAATAACCATTATATTAGTGTCAACAAAAATTTCATTTTAAACAACGTTATAATAACCAATATATTAGTGTAAATACAATTTTCATTTTAAACAATGTTATATTAACTAAAATATTAGTGTAAACACAATTTTCGTTCTACACATTTTAAAAATTATCTAAAACAAGAGGGTGGTGGAAAATATTCCGTACGTCAACACCTATCTCAGGAAAACATCGGTGTGTCAAATTATTTGTTATTGAGAAAAAATAAAACTTGAGAGATCCAGGAAACGAAGACTTTGAAAATATTTGTGTGAACCTGTAACTATATTTAAATAGAAGGACGTCGAGCCGAGTTGATTAATCTTAAAGATAATTAGAAAATTTTGTATGATGCAAATACGACAGCCAATCCAAATTCTTTACATGGTTTCGACTGTAATCGCCTGTCAATAAATGATAGTTAAATTTAATAAATCTTTATTTGTTAACTTTAAATTAAATATACACGTAAATATATATTGCTGGTCAAAAACGCATGATTACGCAAAACGCTTCGTCTTTCCGTAACCGGGAGAATCTCTATAGAGTTTTAGACGACTAACCAGTGGGGTGCGTTGTGCCCGACGATTAACGTTTTAACTCCTTAAAACTTGCCGCGGAGACACCAACATAGACTTTATACATATGTTCCAATTTCAGTCATAGTTCAAAGGTACAATCTTTAATAGTTTTTATAGCACATATAATATAGTTCTCGATAAATTTCTTTATATAGTTCCGTTAAAATGTGTTCGTTGATTTCAGTTTTTACGGTTTCATTGTAGTTAAGACTAACCAATATATATATACACACATATATAGTTTGGAGTCCACCCATCGTACAGTGGTAAGTCTACGGATTTATAACGCTAAAGCCCGGGGTTGGATTCAAACAGGTGACTTTGCTATAAAATATACAAAGAAACGCGCGATAGTTTCGAAGCTTGAGATTCACATGTCACTGCTCTTGTGGAGAAGCGCCCGGGATCAGAGGGTCGTCTCAAGGTAAACAACTAACAGACAAATTATTTGGTTTGGCCTCGTTTCCAGAATTATAACAAGTTGCATCAGCTTACAGGTTTCAAAGTTAGAATTCATTAGGTCTTAACCTTTACACGTGCGTTCGTTCGAACTTTTTTGTACAAAAGCATAAAAAATACCAAACCATGATGAAAACATTCATTACACTGGAAATCGGAGACTATAATTTCTATTAAACGTTCTTAATGAAAATTCATGGAACTGGATAAACTGTAAACCTATTTTTGAATAATTACAAAATCCGCATCGTAAGTTGAACTACATATCAAACAGCAGTCACTTTAGTGACGCCCAACAAGAGTTGTTTCCATAACAACACGTCCTAGTAAACGAATACATTTCATTAACATTTGTTTCTTCACTTCGATATTGTGAACAATTTTTAAAATATTAGGTAGGTCACGTGAAATGGATAGACGTGCTTGGGTTATTGAGTTGTTTGTAGTTTCTTTAGAACGTGAATTATAAGTGTAACAAATGTTATAATCAGAAGTAGATGTATTGTGTAAAAATATCTTAAACTGTATTGTTATAACTTTGTTGTATCGGAAAGTTTTTATAGATCTGTCGGTTTCATGATAAAAATAACAAATCACAAAATATGAAACTACTCAGCATCACCCTGGTGTCCAATTTACCAAACAATATTCATTTCTTAAGTTTATGAAATAGATAATATCTAAAAGAACAGTTGAATTTCCAAAATTAAATATCCAATTTTTCTACAATATTAGATACAAATATTTAAACCAAAATAATTTTAGTATTAAAATTAATGACTACAACGGAAACGTTATTTGTATATATTCAATGGTTAGTTGATAATTTCTAATGGCTCGTTTATTTTCACTAACTCTCTCATTTTTTATACGTTTATCATTAAATAAAATACAATAACACGTGTGTACGTTTTTATATATAAGACAACAGACGAAGAAAGAACGAACTCGTTAACGTGTTTGAATTTTCTTCTCTTGTATGAACTAATAAACTAAATATTTAAGATTTAAAAGAATCATTTTTAGAACATCAATAATTCTAACTCTGTAGGTTATTGGTTTTTTTTGTTCTTCATTCTCGTGTGACGTTGTTCTAGTTTATTTCAAGGACTTTAAATTCTATTGCATCAGCGACCTTCCTGATGGACCGGATGATGATATTTCTGATGCAACCGAGACAACTTTCCACTTATATAAAAGACATCGCTGTCAGAATGTGAACAGACTCAGCCGAGAAGCCACTCCTAACTCCTGAAGCTCAGCTCTTGTGGACTGTCAGCTGTTAATATGAAAGTCGTAAGTAAACACTTCGCTTGAAAGATGTTCTTGTCAGTTTAATAGAAACTTACATTATACATCACTTCTTGCTATTTAGATCAAAACTTAAGATGGATCTCTTGATAAAATGTTTAATAAATATTTGTGAGAACAAAGATACAAATCTTTCCGAGTCAAACTGTTGCTGTGTACAAAGTAAAATGAGTTTATCTGTGTATACAAGTTTTTAACATTATTACTCCTCTCTGTGGTAAAGGAATGGTAAGAACGGTTGCATCATCCACTCCCCACCCGAATCTCGTCTCGGGAATCAGACACCGTGATCTTTATAAACCCCTTAGTTATATATATTAAATCACTGTTATAATCTAACACTGCTTTAGTGGAGGCAAAAAGTAAGAGAAGTTCTTACAATACAAACTAAAGGACCGGCCCCCGAGGTTGTAAAATATAAACGTTTTATCCAAAGCTTAAGATATTCATTATTATAAAAACATAATTTAAAAATTTAATTTACGTTGAATAACAATTAAATTCAACACTATCAAAACATAATTTTATGTTTACTAAAACACGTGTTCCTTCTTTTTTCTAATGTTATTTTATATCTCTAGACATAAAGTAACACGATAATAACGCGTGTGTTTGATTTTTTCTCGGTACAGGTCATTCTCTCCCTGCTTTTTGCTGCCTGCACGGCCGAGATGATTTTGAACATCGACTCCGTGTTCTGAGCCGTAGTTACAGATTTCACCACCATCGTAGCCAAGGTCTGTTGACCAGAAGTGGACGGTTGTACCAGATGGAGCCGGCGGGAAGAGCCCAAGGATTGACCGTCCGAACAGGAGCTGGAACTACGGGAACTTCGGGAGCCTTTGGAGCCATCTCGGCGATCCTAGCAGCCTCTGCGGCAGTCTTTTTGTCGACAGAAATATCACCCTCGGGTTTGAAACCCCCAACACCGGCTGTGTAGCGCACCTCGCGCACTTCACCGTTGGGGTCGATGTAGCTGTACTTCCCCTTTACGGTGCCGTCGGAGCTAATCTGTTCTTCCCGTGAGTGGTCGCCAGCATCCCCAGTTTTATACAAAAACTTACCTCTTTAATTATTGTTATCTAGATAAGATAAAACTTTAGAAATAGGTTCAAAAACGCTTATGATGTTTAGTTAAAAGTTCCTCTGTCCCGATGCTGTAAAATTTAGCCATTTTTTGTACAACCTTTCAAATAATAAATGTCTTTGTAATTTTGTAGATTTATAACTTGAACCTGTTTTTATTTTATGTTAGAACCTCAAGATTTAAAAGAAATTTATGATGTTTAAGATGTATTATCAAAGGTGTTTTGAAAGAAATACCGCGTATAATCTTATATATGTATTGTGAACCGTGGTGTCTGTCCGTCTGTCTGCCGTTTGAAAAACTGTGCACGCAGGCAAAGCTCAACATTAACTTTTGAAATGACGGGAGAACAGACATGAATAATATTGATACCAGATTTTATTTCGTAAGTAGGATATTCTACACTAAATTGTTAGCAATTAATAACACTATCATTCACATTTTAAAATGTGACGTAACTTAAATAAATTTACCGTATGGTATTGTTGAGCAACTCTTAGCATGACTGAAATGTTCAACAATTACTTTTTCACAGAGGGCAGTATAAGTAGTTCAGAGCTTTGGCTGTGAGTGAAACCAACACATTTAACCTTTTTAAAGTCTATGAAATAATTTAAACTGACAGATTAACTTCAACTTTTTCAGTCACTGGAGACGGGTACTGTTTTTCGATTAACTTGAACTTTTCCAGTTACTGGGGGCGTTTAGTTTTTCTGGATTAACTTAAACTTTTCCCGTCACTGGGGACGGGTACTTTTCCTGTATTAGCTTGAAGTTTTCCAGTTACTAGGGACGGGTACTGTTTGTGGATTAACTTGAACTATTCCAGTCACTGGAGACGGGTACTGTTTCTGGATTAACTTGAACTATTCCAGTCACTGGGGACGGGTACTTTTGTTTGTGTTTGATATGTCTCTATTTAGGAAGCTGTTGTTTATCTTTCTAATGTAAGAGTTGTTAGCTGTTTCTGTGTGGACGTTTATAACAAATATCAGGTATAATGTTGGATAAACTGGTGAGACGACGCACGTTTTTCTTCATCTTTTCTACACTTATTTTACCTCTAATTGAAACCGTAATCAATCGTAAGCCGTTAAACAAGTAATCATACATCTAGGAAAATACCGAATAAACAAATCACCACGTGAGTGTAATCAGTTTTATTTGTTTTGGATATTCACGCAAAGCTATGCGAGGATATGGATACTAACCAATAACATCCACCGCCAACTCTAATCAAATAGTGAGATTTGACTCTCATTCCTATAAATCACCTATGGCCACAAAGTACGGACAACGATATTTTTCCGGTAACGGGACTCGAACCACATCCACAATCTGGCTTGCTAATCATTAGGGCCACACCCGAATCTAAATTAAGTTCAGGAACACGTGTCTTGGAATCACACAAAAAAAAAGAGGAGAAGAACACAAAAAATTGAAAAAAAGGCGTCCTTAAAAGTATAAGGAATACTCACATCAATCCAACTGTATAAAGAAACGTGGTCTGGTCGATCCGAGTGTGTTGTTGTCTGCATCACTAATACCACGAATAGGGGCGTTGGCTTTAAAGATGTACCAAAATAATTAGGTCAAGACTTTCCCACCTCGCTTGTATTGAAACTTTTCAAGGTAATTGAGATTAATACAAAACGTGACGAGCACGTGATTAAAATTGGATTTCTGGATCATTTCTATTGAAGACTGTTAATTGATATAGTTTGAAGATTTATCTATAATAGGTTGTGACATTTTAATTCATCCTAAATTATGTAAAATATGCACTTAGAAAAGACTGCTAGATGGACCTTTGTTAAATCTCTGTGGCTGTGTTATAAAAGTAAAGGTCAAGCCCTTAGCGTGAATGATAGTGTGCTGCTGAGTGGCCACTTTACTCTGGTCAGTAGCTCAAACGTATGACCTTAGTTAGTAACTTTTCTATAAATGCGGCCTCTAGTGGCACAGCGGTATGTCTGTAGACTTACAATGCTAGAAACCGGGTTTCAATACCCATGATGGGCAGAGCACAGATAGCCCATTGTGTAGCTTTGTGCTTAATTACAAACAAACTATAAATGCGTTTTTTTATAGCATAGCCACATCTGGAATCGAACCCTTGATTTTAGCGTTTTAAATCCGCAGACTTACCACTGTCCCACCAGGTGACTTCCATAAATACAAATTAGTGTAGTTAAAGTACAAATAGAAAATGAAATAATATGAAAATAAAACAGTCATAAATCCATATATATCATACCACATGTTCGGTTACTTACTCTGGGTTTATAAACAAATCAGACTAACGATTACTTTAGATAGTTTTATTCTAAAGGCTTCAACATGTTAATGTTTTTGGTATAGATTTTATTATTGCCTAAAACATCTCATTTTAGGACCACAGTCTCAATACGTATGCCGAGACCTTAGGGTTAAGACTGTGTTTACCTGAGAGAAGCACTCGAAGTAAGTTGACTGTAACGAGTAGTTAAGTTTTACTGGAGTTAGAATAGGTCTAGGATCTTTAACAAATACAATAACGGCTTCTTAAAGTCACGTGCAAATATTCTCCTTCTTCTACTATAGTAATAAATAAGAGCACGTGGAGGGCAAACTGCAGACGAGACATTTGATTATAAATTGAGTGATAAAACAATTAATTTACTAACATGGATGTACTTAAAAAGAATAACTTGTGCACGAAGAAAGAGGTTAGCAGTATTTTTTCTTAATTTTTTTCTCCATCTATTGAGAGATAACTGAACTTCCAAGTATTTTATCATAACTTGTTTCTCCATCTATTGAGAGATAACTGAACTTTCAAGTATTTTTTCATAATTTGTTTCTCCATCTATTGAGAGATAACTGAACTTCCAAGTATTTTTCCTTATTACTGGTTTCTCCATCTATTGAGAGATAACTGAACTTCCAAGTATTTTTCCTTATTACTCGTTTCTCCATCTGTTGAGAGATAACTGAACTTCCAAGTATTTTTCCTTATTACATGTTTCTCCATATATTGAGAGATAACTGAACTTCCAAGTATTTTTCCTTATTACATGTTTCTCCATATATTGAGAGATAACTGAACTTCCAAGTATTTTTCCTTATTACAT